ACACGCATGCCAACCGGAAGTGTCGCCACGGCCATTTTGTTGGTTGTATACATGTGGTTTCAACCAAAAGTTTGATCAGTCAGTACAGAGCCATTGAGGGAGTAATGCTGGAAGCTGGATTTTCCTTTTTTTAATGTGAGTTTTGATTAAATTTGTTTCTATGATGTGAATTCTGCCTAAGAGCCTTTGTTTCTTTATGAGGAGTTTGGAGGAGTACCCCTGAACAAAATGAAGGATTGAAAGATATGGATTCCCTATGTTAGCCCATGCTTGAGAATAACTTCAAGAGGGTAATAGTACCTGGTATCACTTTTGGCTGGACTATAGAGGGTACTAGTACCTAGTATCACTATTCACAAGTGGTTGGAGTGATCACAAGTTTTTCACGTTTTGGGTTTATTTAGTTATTTTTTTATTTATGCAGTGAAAGAATAAGTATATATTTATATACCGTATATACTCGAGTATAAGCCGACCCGAATATAAGCCGAGGTACCTAATTTTACCATAAAAAACTGGGAAAAACTATTGAATCGAGTATAAGCCGGTGGTGTCAGTGGGGGGAGGAATAGTGCCCCATTGTTGGTGTCAGTGGGGGAAGGAATAGTGCCCCATCGTTGGTGTCAGTGGGGGGGAGGAATAGTGCCCCATCGTTGGTGTCAGTGGGGGGAGGAATAGTGCCCCATCGTTGGTGTCAGTGGGGGGAGGAATAGTGCCCCATCGTTGGTATTAGTGACACCAATGATTGGGCACTATTCCTCCCACTGACACCAATGATACTTACCTTGCTGACCCCTGCTCCAGCCTGGGCTCGCTCGCTCCCTCCCTCTCCCATGGTACACACTTACCGGTCAGATGTCTTCCTTCTCCGGCCGCTCTCCTCCTCTTCACTCGCTCAATCTTCGCGGTGCCTCTCGGCTCCTCCTCTCCAAGCTCCACCTCCTCGCCGGTGATTGGGCGCCTGTGTGCCTCTCCTGAGCTACAGTTCCGGCGGCCAATCACCGACGAGGATTGATCCCGGGGGTGTGTCCAGATGACAGGGACGGCATGTCATCCCGCCCACACCTGGAGACGGTAGAGGAGCGGTGGTGTCTCGGTTCCTAAGGCAATCGGAAATATGTGTTTTCCGATGGTCTTAGGCGACCCCTGTGAAAGTGTCGTTCGACCCCCAAAGGGGTCGCGACCCACAGGTTGAGAACCGCTGCTTTAGAAGCAGCGCCCCCTGCTAGACATCTGCAGACGTTGACTCGAGTATAAGCCGAGGGGGGCGTTTTTCAGCACAAAAAATGTGCTGAAAAACTCGGCTTATACTCGAGTATATACGGTATTACTTGCACGTTTTTTTTTTTTTTTTTGTTTTTTCTTTCTTTCACTATTTTAAGAGTGGTTTTGTGTTTTTGCACAGAGTGAAGTACATATATTTAAAAAGATAATACACTATGAATTTTCTTTTAGTTTTTTTTTTTGAGGTTTTCATGGAATATTTAGGATCAATTTCCTTTTAACTGGATTGAAGTGAAAATTTGGAACTTGGATTTTGGACACATTGGGATTCTATTTTATTTTACGCAATTTTATTTTTGTGATTTTGAGACACAATTGGGAGTGAATTCAATTTGAACACATTTTTAAGTTTAAGTGAATAATATTTATTTTGATTGTATAAATTGATTACATTTGTAGATTTTAATTTTGGGTTTTATGTGGGATTTATATGTTTTACCACAAAAAGGATATGTTGGATTACATAACTGGATTGAATGGTGGTTTATTCAATGTTGTGTCGGGTGTTCATGTAAAGTGGGATGTGCTCTCTTCTGGGACCGGCACCTACACTGTTGCAGTGTTCGCATGATCAGGAACCTGGTCCCTGCTGGCTCCCAATCATTACTAGAGACTAAGAGCCATCTTTGACAGTTTGGTCACTGTGCCTGGGCACTCAAACACTACCCATGGGTGCATAGGTGCGACAAGTAAAGGATAAAGCCCACTTTCTTTGCTGATGCACATAGGTGTTACATGGGCAGCAAAAGGTTCACATGCAGCTAGTAGAATTACCTTCCTGTCTTTATATTAACTTCACTTAAACCCGGCACAGCAGGTCTGGCATTAGTATCATGGGAGAGGGCAGCATTGCAAGCTGAATAGCCCAGTGCATTCATTGTAACAGTGGATGTGCTTACTGACAGGGAAATTGGGTTGAGTGAGCAGAGTGTTGACCTCATCAGTGTGACTATTCTCTTTCACTGTCCACTCCACAGGCTTGGGGAAGAAGAGAAGGTGGTGGTGTGTGGGGGGGGGGGGGGGGTCGGGTCAGTGTCCAAATTGAGGTCAAGTCAGGCCCATGATGTTTTGGCAGGGTTTGCCGAGCAGAATTACAACAGGAGTTCAGCTTTAACAGCAGACCTGCTCAGAGGTCATTTATAGGGGATTTCCACTTTTGATAAAAAAATAACATAGCAAAAAATATTGCTACAAAAAACAATGTTCTTATAAGTTAGCCTTTCGTACCATTCTGAAGTCGCTGTAATTTTCTAGAATTGTCAAAAAATTCAATTCAATATGGCAACCTGGAAATGTTCTGTACACAGTTGGTGTAGAGAACGCCGTAAGAAATGCAATTTTCTGCTTCTGTGATTGGCTCATTGATTTTCTCAGCTGTCTACACTGAAATACAAATACAACTTTGGCCATCTTGCGCAATAGGAATTTCATTTTTGGAGAGATACTTGCCAAGAGTCAACTACTTCTAAAGGGATGCAGACACTGCAACATTTCTTATTAGAGCACTGATATTGCAGTGGGTGGTGATAATGAATGCTGACCTTTTCAATCAGGAATCATTCTTTCAAGGACATTTATTTATTAATTTTATTTATTTCAGGTACTTATATAGCGCCGTCAATGTACTCCACGCTTTACATATATATTGTACATTTATATCACTCCCTAACCCTCAAGGGGTGTACAATCTAAGGTCCCTAACCCTCAAGGGGCGTACAATCTAAGGTCCCTAACTCACATTCATACATACACATACTAGGGACAATTTAGGCCAATTTGAGGTGATGACTAAACATGACTTGTTACATTTATTTATTTCAGGTACTTATATAGCGTTGTCAATGTACTCCGCGCTTTACATATATATATTGTACATTCACATCAGTCCCCGCCCCCGAGGGGTGTACAATCCAAGGTCTCTAACTCACATTCATACATACACATACTAGGGACAATTTAGACAGGAGGCAATTCACCTACCAGAATGTCTTTGGAGTGTGGGAGGAAACCGATGTACCCGGAGGAAACCCATGCAGGCACAGGGAGAACATGCAAACTCCAGGCAGGTGGTGCCGTGGTTGGGATTCGAATCGACGACCCTAGTACTGCCAGGCGGAAGTGCTAACCATTTAGCCACTGTGCTGCCCATAGTGGTCCAAATAGCTTTTTCTTCATAACAGACAAGGCAGTTTGGTAAAATCACTGTAATGTACATCGATCCCCCGGAGGGAGTGGAGGTACACTTTGAGAATGATGTGGCAGTTTTTAGACGTCCTTCTAAGTAACGGATAAATGGAATATGCCCAACTCATCTAGTGCAATACCAATCATCAGTTTTTTTCCCCAGTCATCATCTGTCTGATGCCAATCTCAGACATTACAATGTTTCTAGACCAAGACCCTTCAAAAATTCTAGACTTAGCATGAAGTGCGTGTTACCAAAACAGTTTCTGAAGCAACTGCCTGAAAAACCCCTTGAAGGTGTCTTCATAGTTCTAGGGTTGACACCACCTGACGGAGCCAGTTGCAGGCCACCAATGGTCTTTTTAGCTATAGGTAACAGTGGATTTCTGACCACCACTGTAAAGGGGCTATCCTGTTCACTGGCCACCAATGTAAGGGAATCATTCTTCCCACTGACCACCAATGTAAGGGAATCATTCTTCCCACTGACCACCAATGTAAGGGAATCATTCTTCCCAATGACCACCAATGTAAGGGAATAATTTTTTCTACTGGATAGGGGGTCCATTCTTCCCACTGATCACCAATGTAGAGGTCCATTCTTCCCACTGACCACAATGTTAGGGGTCCATTCTTCCACTGACCACAAATTTAGGGGTCCATTCTTCCCACTGACAACCAATGTAAGTGGGTCATTCTTTCTATTGGCCACCATGTAGGAGGGTTATTCTTTCCATTGGCCACCAACATAAGGGGGTCATTCTTTCCACTGGCCACCAATGCAAGAGGTCATTCTTTCCACTGGCTAACAATGTAAGCGGCTCATTCTTTCCACTGGCCACCAATGTATTCCTCATTATTGGTCATCAAAGTAATGGGGTCATTCTTTCCATTGTCCACCAATGTAATGGGGTCATTCCTTCCACTGGCCACCAAGGTAAGGGGTCATTATTTCCATCAGCGAACAATGTAAGCGGCTCATTCTTTCCTCTGGTCACCAATATAAGGGTCTTCCAACTGACCATCAATGTAATGGGGATGTTCTTTCCACTAGCCACCAAAGGAAAGAGGTCATTCTTTCCATTGGCTACCAATATTAGGGAGTAATTCTTCTACTGATCACCAATGTAAGGGTGCCATTCTTCCACTGATAATCAATGTACGAGAGTAATTCTTTCTGCTGGCCAACAACGTAAGGGGCTTATTCTTCCAACTGGACATCAATGTAATGGAGTCATTCTTTCCATTGGCCACCAATGTAATGGGCTCATTGTTTTTACTGGCCACCAGTGTGAGAGGGGTTCACTCTTTCCACTGGCCACCAATGTAAGGGTATCAGTAATCACAAATGTAGAGATTTTTCCCCAATAACCCCCAATAAATTGGTTTCAGAAGGGGTTCCCCAAGACCTTAAAATAGTTTCAAGGTCCCTCTGGTAAAAAAAAAAAAGGTTGAGAAAGCCTGCCTTACTAGGTTGTATCTGGATAACTGACCCTTCAAAGATTCTGGGCTTAGCACAATGTGCGTCTTACCAAAAAGTTTCTGGAGAACCTGCCCGTCGTACAGATCCTCAGCAAGGTCCTTTACGATGATTCTCTCCCCAACCAAAACGTCATTAATCCAGTCAACTAAGACCTAGGTACACAGAGAAACAAAGCCACACGCATTAGCAGCAGCCACATAAGAGAAATGTTTTTACTGGCTCAGGCGTTGGGAGACCTTTTCATGAGCAAGGAGAGCTCACCACTTCACAAGATAATGTGGACACTTTAGAGTTTGTTTTCTTTTATATTTACAAAAGATTGTTTAGGTAGCAAAAATCATAATCTATATGTAAAAGGCTACAGACACCATTAATAAGGCTTCATTCACACTTGTCATGCAACGCGGGGCACATAAAGTCGCATTACAAGTCGCAGCAATTTTAAAACATTTCCTGCACTATTTTGATGCTGCTTAGCCTCCCTAGCGGTCTGATTATGTCCATATTTCTGTGCTCAAAGCGGTACATTTTTTTGCATGGAAATACCATATATACTCGAGTATAAGCCGAGTTTTTCAGCACATTTTTTGTGCTGAAAAACGGCCCCCTCGGCTTATACTCGAGTCAACGTCTGCAGATGTCTAGCAGGGGGCGCTGCTTCTAAAGCCAGTGCTTCTCAAATAGTGGGGCGCGCCCCTCCGTCAAGGGGAGCGCGTACAGGGGTGGGCAGAGGGCTGCTGTCTCTTACCTGGCTCCCACGATGATCCATCCAGGGGGCGCTGCTCCTTTCGTCACTCCGGCCACTCCCTCCCTCGGCTCCGCCTCCTCACCGGTGATTGGCCGCCAGAACTGTAGCTCAGGAAAGGTACACAGGTGGCCAATCACGGACGAGGAGGCGGAGCCGAGCGGATCCGCGAAAATCGAGTGAGGGAAAAGCCGGTAAGTGTGCAGTGCAGAGGTGCTGCTGCAACCATATATGCTGGCTGCAGCAGCACCATACTGCAACAGGGGTCAGCAAGTGTCATTGGTGTCAGTGGGAGGAATAGTGCCGTATCATTGGTGTCACTGATACCAATGATGGGGCACTATTCCTCCCACTGACACCAATGATGGGGCACTATTCCTCCCATTGACACCAATGATGGGCACTATTCCTCCCACTGACACCAATGATGGGGCACTATTCCTCCCACTGACACCAATGATGGGGCACTATTCCTCCCACTGACACCAATGATGGGGCACTATTCCTCCCACTGATACCAATGATGGGGCACTATTCCTCCCACTGACACCAATGATGGGGCACTATTCCTCCCACTGACACCAATGATGGGGCACTATTCCTCCCACTGACACCAATGATGGGGCACTATTCCCCCCACTGACACCAATGATGGGGCACTATTCCCCCCACTGACACCAATGATGGGGCACTATTCCCCCCACTGACACCAATGATGGGACACTATTCCTCCCACTGACACCAATGATGGGGCACTATTCCTCCCACTGATACTAATGATGGGGCTTATACTCGAGTCAATAATTTTTCCCAGTTTTTTGTGGTAAAATTAGGTACCTCGGCTTATATTCGGGTCGGCTTATACTCGAGTATATATGGTATGTTGTTTTTTTATTGTAGGCCTGTCATTTTTAGGAATAACTCACTGAAATCTGTCCAAACAAGAGTCTAGTAAACATCCCGGGTAGGATAAAATTTGAAACATGAAATAATAAATTATAATATAGTAAATAATCATAAAAAATATTATAATAATAATAAATGTAATTCAATAATATAATCAAACCAAAAACACTGAAATGTGAAATAGAGCGCCAAGTTTGCACATCACTGAGCTCAGTCGCAGAATCGTTTTCAGTGTCTGATGAGGAATTTCCCCCACAAATCATTATCACTCAATTCTGCAAGTGGTTCTGATTTACTATCGCTGTTCTCTAGCCGGCCTAAAACCGCTTTTGACCTAAAGGGACGCTTTTTGGACGCCATGGACGTTTCTCAGTTTGCAGGCAGAAAGAACAGTAAAAATGCAGGCAGGGCGCCGGACAAAGCACTCGGGACACAATGTATGTGAAATGGGTTGATACAGCAATGTTATACTATGTGATTTTAGTGAATTTAATGAATGTCCCTTTTACAATTTTCAAATTTCCCGCCAGTTCCGTCCCCCGTACGTCCCGACATCGCAGGGAATGGAACCCGGAAGACAGATGCCGGCATCGCTGGAGGACATTACAGGGGACACTGCAGGGGGGACATCGCAGGAGCACAGGACAAGGTAAGTGATCGAGGGATCCCGGAACAGCGCTGCAGTGTATTCCCGAATGTAGCTCGGGGTTACCGCTTGTGGTGCTGAAACTTTACCCCGAGCCAGGGGCGGACTGACCATTTGGAAATTCGGGCACTGCTCGGGGTCAGTAGGGGGCCCCATGATATGCCCCTGGTACCTTTTTCATAGGCTTTTTTGAGTTTAGGCAAGGACACAGGGGCCCCATGATCCCCTATTGCCTGGGGGCCCCATGAGTTGTCAGTCCACTCCTGCCCCGAGCTACACTCGGGAATACTGCCGGGGAGGTTAATGACAGGGAGTGTAAAGTCACATCAAAGTCGCATTCAAAACTGTACTTTGGAGTCGCACAAGTGTGAACAGAGCCTAAAATAACTTAAAGATCAACTGCACCCAAAACTCTTTTTGTGTTGGTCACCGAGGGGCGTCATCTAATGGCTTCATACATCACTCAGTCGGGGATATCCACACAAAAATTCCCAGCACCCCGCCAACATTTTGTAGCTCTTACAAGGCCACATGATGGTGTCACACTTCCTCAAGTGGTACTTTATGGAATGGAGAAAAGGAAACATTTTTTGGAGAGTCAAATTTGCGAGAGAGTGACACCGTTTTCACCAATTTTCCTGGGATAAAAGGGAGGAGACAAACCCACCAATGCCCACCCATATTGGAAATCCCATATGCATGCTGCCATGGCTGAACAGCGGGGAATGGTGGTGTGGTACTTTAATTGTCCCAGCCTATAGGAAAAGAAAGTATACAATCCAAAAACACACGTTCCTGCGTTAAAAATGTATATAAATTGGTGCTGCAGGGACCGTCGGCTGGAACCGAACAGAATCAGCAAGGGAGAATGTCACCAGCACACCGAGGATCACCAATATGGGTCCAAAAGGTTTAATAAAAAGATCACATGGTTACAGCAAGGCAACATTTCGGAGTTTTGCAGAACCCCTTCATCAGACATTGTCACATGCCTGATGAAGAGGTCCTGCGAGACTCCGAAACGTTGCCTGATCACATGCCTGAAGAAGGGGTCCTGCGAGACTCCGAAACGTTGCCTGGTCACATGCCTGATGAAGGGGTCCTGCGAGACTCCGAAACGTTGCCTGGTCACATGCCTGACTCCGAAGGGGTCCTGCGAGACTCCGAAACGTTGCCTGGTCACATGCCTGATGAAGGGGTCCTGCGAGACTCCGAAACGTTGCCTGATCACATGCCTGAAGAAGGGGTCCTGCGAGACTCCGAAACGTTGCCTGATCACATGCCTGAAGAAGGGGTCCTGCGAGACTCCGAAACGTTGCCTGGTCACATGCCTGATGAAGGGGTCCTGCGAGACTCCGAAACGTTGCCTGGTCACATGCCTGATGAAGGGGTCCTGCGAGACTCCGAAACGTTGCCTGGTCACATGCCTGATGAAGGGGTCCTGCGAGACTCCGAAACGTTGCCTGGTCACATGCCTGATGAACGGGTCCTGCGGACTCCTGCGAGACTCCGAAACGTTGCCTGATCACATGCCTGATGAAGGGGTCCTGCGAGACTCCGAAACGTTGCCTGGTCACATGCCTGATGAACGGGTCCAGCGAGACTCCGAAACGTTGCCTGGTCACATGCCTTATGAACGGGTCCTGCGAGACTCCGAAACGTTGCCTGGTCACATGCCTGATGAAGGGGTCCTGCGAGACTCCGAAATTGCCTGGTCACATGCCTGATGAACGAGTCCAGCGAGACTCCGAAACGTTGCCTGATCACATGCCTGATGAAGGGGTCCTGCGAGACTCCGAAACGTTGCCTGGTCACATGCCTGATGAAGGGGACCTGCGAGACTCCGAAACGTTGCCTTGCTGTAACTATGTGATCTTTTATTAAGCTTTTTGGACCCATATTGGTGATCCTCAATGTGCTGGTGACATTCTCCCTAGCCTATAGGAAAAGGACGTACCTTCATGAGTTCCTGTAATCTGGGGTCACTCCGGGAGTACGGGTCAATCATGGTCCTCACCTCATTCTCCTCTACAAATCAAAAGAGAAAACAGTTAAAGGGAATGTTCATACTTCCAAACCCCTCCCTCCCTCAAAACAGAACTTGCCAAGCATGGTGTCCTCTGGGTCCAGCTCAAATGGGATCGGATTAAGAGGCAGGTTGATGGCATTGATGCCTTCTTCTTGAAGCTCGGATACTAGGAGAACACAGAATTAACAGTCAGGGTTTTTTTTCTACCACTAGATGTCCTCAGTATGGTGGCCAGCATCATTCAACTAACATCCTCTGAGCCCAGATTGTCCTGGACCCGCCCCCAGTCTGTGACTGGACAGTGAAAAGAGAAACAGAGCAGCGATTAGCTCATCTCTCTGTCATTTTACTCTCTCCACCTATCAGTGTGCATCTTAGCTCATGAACTAACTTGTGCAATTTGTGCTGCTTCTTCCTCTCACACCCCAGCCCTTCTGTACAGAGAGCTTGATATCACTCACATTCGGGTACATCCAAAACATTGGTTGCTTTCAAAAAATAAATGTATTGATGCATTAATGAATACAGAGCTGTATTAAATGGTGTTTTTGATTAATGCCTGGAGTTCAGATTTACATCCAGTGTCCTATATTAACTAATGTCCCTCCATCATACTCTGTTCTATTAGTACCCTACTCTGTCCGACACCCCAAACATTTTGGGCCCAAAGCTGTTTGGTGGCACTATATCAATTCTTGGGTGAAAGAACGATTTCCTGGCCTGCCATGCAAGTTTAAATCCAATGTGTATTCTTTTTGAACTGTGGTCTCCAAACTGAGGCCCAAGGGCCAGATGTGACCCTTTGCTTACTTTTAGCTGGCCCTTGGGGCAATATTACCCCTGCTATTGCACAGTTCCTGCCACTGACACCAACAGTGGAGCACTATTTCTCCCACTGACACAAATGATGAGTCACTATTCCTCCCACTGACACCAATGATGAGTCACTATTCCTCCCACTGACACCAATGATGGGGCACTATTCCTCCCACTGACACCAATGATGGGGCACTATTCCTCCCACTGACACCAATGATGAGTCACTATTCCTCCCACTGATACCAATGATGGGGCACTATTCCTCCCACTGACTCCAATGATGGGGAACTATTCCTTCCACTGACACCAATGGTGGGGTACTATTCCTTCCACTGACACCAATGATGGGGCACTATTCCTCCCACTGACACCAATGATGGGGCACTATTCCTCCCACTGACACCAATGATGGGGCACTATTCTTCCCACTGATGCCAATGATGGGGCACTATTCCTTCCACTGACACCAATGATGGGGCACTATTCCTCCCACTGACACCAATGATAGGGCACTATTCTTCCCACTGATACCAATGATGGGGCACTATTCCTCCCACTGATACCAATGATGGGGCACTATTCCTCCCACTGACAGCAATGATGGAACGCTATTCCTCCCATTGATACCAATGATGGGGCAGTCTTCCTCCAACTGACACCAATGATGGGACACTATTCTTCCCACTGACACCAATGATGGGGCACTATTCCTCCCACTGACACCCATGATGGAGCACTATTCTTCCCACTGACACCAATGATGGGGCACTATTCCTCCCACTGACACCAATGGTGGGACACTATTCTTCCCACTGACACCAATGATGGGGCACTATTCTTCCCACTGACACCAATGATGGGGCACTATTCCTCCCACTGACACCAATGATGGGGCACTATTCCTCCCAATGACACCAATGATGAGGCAGTCTTCCTCCAAATGACACCAAGTGGGTCCCTCCCACAGCTCTGCTCTCTGTACAGGCTATGTTCAGCACAATGATAATGTTGCGACTACATTTACAAGGTAATATCTGGGTTTGCAAAGGTATTTGGTGTACACAAAGTGGATTTATATCTTCTGTGGCTAATTAAGGAACATACTGAAAAATGTTTTGGCACCCGGAGTTCAGCTTTACAGGCACCCAGTCCACTTTTCACCACCTTCATAACTTTAGAAAAAGACACAAATGTCACTTTAATTACATTTTCTTTTTTTGGGGGGGCATCCTATGCTTGGGCCCCCGGCAAGCCAGCAAAGCCAACAGGATACATTCTTGTGTAATTCTGAGTATTTTGTCAGGAAATGATTCTGCGCAGGAGCATCTTTCCCCCCCTCCATTATCTGCTGATGCACTGCCAAGCGAATATGCACACAGCCGAACATATCTCCGCTCCCTTCCCAGCGTGGAGGCGCAGCAGAAAAACAAAAAAAAAAAAAAAGACTCATTGCAAAGGCCGGAGCGTTAATTTTCCCAAATAAACAAAATGCGTGGTGGAGAAGAGGATGATGTAAGGGACGCATGCGACGGTACAACCCAGCCGACCCTTCAGGTGTCACTGACCGACAGCCCAGGGACGAACGCGCTGCACTGCTGACCGAGAGACGATTAGGGAGCAATTATCAAACCACAAGAACGCATTAGAGGGAATCGTTCCTTAATGGTACATAAGAGCCTTGCTGATGTCTCTACTGGCCAAAGGCCAGGCGGAGGGGCATTGCATAATGTTGTCGTAACTACATTAAACATGGATACATACATTTGGCTTTATTATTTCCACAATTCATAAGAGGGCGTATCAATTTGCGACCACAGGCTGAGCTAAATATAGTCGCTTGCCCACATGGGATCTGGGGCATTCGTCCAATTCCCATCACAATCTACTGATAGGATCACTATTGGCAAACCCCGGAATTCCTGCCAAGCTGGCCGCAGCCTATTGACACTAGTGTGAAAAATGGTTGTAAAATGTCTTTCAGGGACAGACCGTGAAGGTGGTCTACACATGGTACAAGGCTATTCGTTGAATTCCCATCCCACCAACAGAACTGGCCGCAGCCGCAATGCTACACATGGTTAAGGTTTTTTTTTTTTTAATATTTAAAGAAGAATTTTTTTTTTTTTAATGGGTTCACCAACAGGCCATGTTAAAGAAATAACTCATGGGGCATGTCGTCCAATTCCCATCACAAACTACAGAATCAGGATCACTACTGGGGCAAACCCCAGGAATTCCTGCCAAGCTGGCCGCAGCCTATTGACACACAAAACAGGGACAGATAGTTAAGGTGGCTACACATGCTTAAGGTTTTTTTTTTTAAGGGATCTCAGGATATGGGGCATTCGTCCAATTCCCATCACAATCTACAGATAGGATCACTACTGGCAAACCCCGGAATTTCTGCCAAGCTGGTCGCAGCCTATTGACTGACACTAAGATGAACAATGCCTGCAAAATGTCTTTCAGGGACAGATAGTGAAGGTGGCTACACATGGTTAAGTTTTTTTTTTTTAAGGGATCGTTCACACCAACAGGCGCATGTTAAAGAAGGGAAACTCAGGATATGGGCATTCTGGGTCCAATTCCCATCACAATCTACAGATAGGATCACTATTGACAAACCCTGGAATTCTTGCCAAGCTGGCCGCAGCCTATTGACACTAGCGCCAAGCTGGCTGCAGCCTATTGACACTGTTGAACAAATGCCTGTAAAATGTTTTCAGGGACAGATAGTTAAGGTGGCTACACATGCTTAAGTTTTTTTTTTAAGGGATCTGGGGCATTCGTCCAATTCCCATCACAATCTACAGATAGGATCACTACTGGCAAGCCCCGGAATTTCTGCCAAGCTGGTCGCAGCCTAAGACACTGATGAACAATGCCTGCAAAATGTCTTTCAGGGACAGATAGTTGGACTGGTTAAGTTTTTTTTTTTTAAGGGATCGTTCACACCAACAGGCACATGTTAAAGAAGAACTCAGGATCTTGGGGCATTCGTCCAATTCCCATCACAATCTACAGATAGGATCACTACTGGCAAACCCCAGGAATTCCTTGCCAAGCTGGCTGCAGCCTATTGACACTAGGTTGAACAATGCCTGCAAAATGTTTTTCAGGGACAGATAGTTAAGGTGGCTACACATGCTTAAGTTTTTTTTTTAAGGGATCTGGGGCATTCGTCCAATTCCCATCACAATCTACAGATAGGATCAGATGGCAAACCCAGAATTCCTGCCAAGCTGGTCGCAGCCTACAGACACTAAGATGAAAAATGGCCTGCAAAATGTCTTCCAGGGACAGATAGTGAAGGTGGCTACATATGGTTAAGTTTTTTTTTTTTAAGGGATTGTTCACACCAACAGGCACATGTTAAAGAAGAACTCTTACTTTAAATTTTTGTTCAGTGTCCCCCATGTTCCTTTGTGCTTTGTAGCTGTGAAGTTGAACAGGGCGCCCCCCTATCCCCATGGCTACCCACAAGCAGACAGCTGATTGATAACTGGTGCTTGTCTTGGCTCCAAACACTTGCCCGAGACAAGAAGCTGCAAGAGGAACACAGAGGGACAGGAGGCAGATATGCCCGTCTGAATTTCTATTGCTGCTCCTTCAGCCAATTGCTGGTTATCAAGCAATCTCCTTGCTAGCTACGTTGCCGGATGACCACCCGGGCCAGGCCACCTGCTCTTTGTCAAAAGACTTCGACAGGGTGGTTCAGGAGCGAGCCAGTACGGGTGCCCCCATGGAAAACTGCTTTCCATGGGGGCACCCGCATAAGAGGAGGGAGCCAGGAATGCCAGCAGGGGACGTCCCGTGATAGGTTGCCACCTGTGCAATAAGTCCATCCGTGACATTTCCTGGCTACTAAATATTATATGCTCAACTGTTAGTGGGATTATAACAAAGTGGAAGCAACTGGGAACAACAGCAACTCAGCCACCAAGTGGTAGGCCACGTCACATGACAGAGCGGGGTCAGCGCATGCTGAAGCGCACAGAAGTCACCAACTGTCTGCAGTCAATAGCTAAGGACCTCCAAACTTGGTGTGGCCTTCAGATGACCCCAACAACAGTGCGTAGAGAGCTTCATGGAATGGGTTTCCATGGCCGAGCAGCTGCATCCAAGCCTTCCATCACCATGTGCAATGCAAAGCGTCGGATGCCGTGGTGTAAAGTACGCCACCACTGGACTCTAGAGCAGTGGAGACGTGTTCTCTGGAGTGACCAATCACGCTTCTCTGTCTGGCAATCCGATGGACGTGTCTGGGTTTGGTGGTTGCCAGGAGAACGGTACTTGCGCGACTGTATTGTGCCAAGTGTAAAGTTTGGTGGAGGGGGGATTATGGTGTG